ATTAGAAGATACTGATATAACTATGTACTTTCTGGAGAAGGGACTGAGGGAATTTTGAGTAATAGGATAGATAAATGATTGAGAAACACACACATGCACATTTGCAAATACACATGCTTGAACTGATCAAAATGGGGAAACTTTTACAACTATCTGAAATTCTTAATTTTCACCTCTTTTGAAACCTAGGACAGTTGATTTATGTGGTCATGTCGTCCAATGACAAATAAGAGTTATTCTTCAATTTCAGCTACCTCAAGGTCTTGCCACATGTGAGTTGTGATGCGGGAACTTGCTCCTTATGGTTGGAGGGGATTCCTCATCTTTGTTTTCTAAACCAAGCACAGAGTGAAGTCGCCCAAGTTGTAGAATAATTGGGGACTGTCTCCCTCTGTTGGTCAAAAGATCCCAAAGTCTCTATAAGGGTAAAGGGAGAAGGAATGCAGCTCATTCTTTTCCTCTTCTTTAATTATACCCCCTCAGGACATATAGCTGTCTTTACACTGTTTCCTAATTTTGTTTTAGCACGAATTCATTTAAAAAATATTTTTATTTATTTCAGAGAGGAAAAGAGAGGGAGAGTGAGAAACATCAATGATGAGAAAGAATCAACAACAGTTGCCTCCTGCATGCCCCCCACTGGGGATTGAGCCTGCAACCTAGGCACATGCCCTAATATCCCAGTTCATAGGTCAACACTCAACGACTGAGACACACCAGCCAGACACACAGAATTTGTTTTAGCTAAAATCCATCCCTATAAAAACATCGGGACATAGAAACAGTGCTGACTCAGTGTGAATTGTCCAATATTCCTGAAAGTTGTCCTTTATCCCAACCTGGTTAAGATTGGTTCTGGATATATTTTGGTGCTTCCGTGATTTGAGTCATCTGATTTTATACTTATTTAGTTTAATGAAGCTTCACATTCTTTCTTTTTCATGTTAACAAGTAATTTAAAATACTTGTATTGAAAATAGTCTAAACAAATATGAATGGAACTACATCTATGTCTTGTTTCATTGGAAGAAATTTAGTTTTTAAAAATGCTTGTTATTTAGATTTTGAAATATTATTTGTAATATTAATTGTAGTAACACTTTGACCTTACATTTATGTGTTTTCCAATGTTGACTTTTTTGTATTTTCTTTTTCTTTTTTGATTTTTCAATTACAGTTACATTCATTATTACTTTGTATTAGTTCCAGGTGTACAGCTCAGTGGTTAGACAATCATATACTTTTCCAAAGTGTTCCCCTGATATTTCCAGCAGCCACCTGACACCATATGTAATTACAACAATATTATTCACTATATTCATTATGCTATACTTTACATCCTCATGACTATTTTATAACTACCAATTTGTACTTTTTAATCCCTTTACCAATCAAAACCTCTCTCCTTTGGCAATCATCAGTCTGTTCTCTGTATGTATGGGTTTCTTTTGGTGTGTTTGTTTCTTCTTTAAATTCCATGTATACGTGAAATTATATGGTATTTGTCTTTCTTGGACTGACTTATTTCACTTAGCATGATAGCCTCCAGGTTCATCCACATTGTTGCAAATGGTAAGATTTCATTCTTTCTCATGGCTTAGTAACATTCCTTTATATATATATATATATATATATATATATATATATATATATATATATATATATACCAGAGCTTTTTTATCTACTTATCTACTAATGGACACTTAGGCTGCCCACAAATCTTGACTATTGTAAATAATGCTACAATGAGCATAGGGGAGCATATATTATTTTGAATTAGTGTTTGGGTTTCTCCAGATATATACCCAGAAGTAGAATTGCTGGGTCATAAGGCAGTTCCATTTTTAGTTTTTTGCAGTAACTCAATATTGTTTTTCCACAGTGGCTGCACAAATCTGCATTACCATCAACAGAAGCTGCACACATCTTAATGTATATTCTTATATACAGAGCTAATATATATTTTTACATAGCAAAAGAGATAGTTATAAATGAAATTTATTTATAACTTTACAGTTTCACCAAATCATGTTTTTTTTTCCTCAAGCTTACATTTAAATTTTTTACTGAGCCAAATAATTCTGATACTATAAGCCACACTAAAACAAATCACTGCAATTTTCCATAAGAAAGTATGATTAATTGAGACTGGAAACTATTTTTATGTAGAAAAAATTTATATAAATTCAGTGCCCTGTGAATCTTTAAATTTTATAGTCAACCTGCCATGTAGATGGAATGGGGTGACAAATTAAATGCACAATTATCTTTTCTCCAAATTGTTACATGGATCTATCCTTGCTAACATTGATCAGTGGCGCTTGTCTTTTAGGTAAAATAAAGGACTAATGAAATGTGCATGCTATCCATGAAAGTTTTGAGGTTTGGGAAAGGAAAGTGTATTTATAAAAAATGTTTCTAGGCCAAAAGCAATGTCACATTTATTGGAGACGAAATTTTGTTGTTAGGCAGTGGAAGTGACACTATTGTTTTCCTTCACATTTATATTTTGACCGTGTAAGAAATTGACCTTGTATAAAAAAAGAGAGCTTTTTAAAAATAGAAATATGCCCTAGCTGGTTTAGTTCAGCGGACAGAGGGTCGGCCTACGGATTGAAGGGTCCCTGCTTCGATTCCAGTCAAGGGCACATGCCTGGGTTGCGGGCTCAATCCCCAGTAGGGGGCATGCAGGAGGCAGCCAATCAATGATTCTCTCTCATTATTGATGTTTCTATCTCTCTCCCTTTCTCTTTGAAATCAATAAAAAAGTAAATAAATAAAATAAAAGTAGAAATACAAATTACCCATTTTAGAAGGGGTATAAATATTTGACATGTAGTATTATTTTGTGATTTATGTGTTTTTCATAGTTCACATAAAAGAAAAAAGCCAGCTTTTTGAATTACATGTATTTCAAAGTCCCGAAAGACTTGTACAAATGTATGAAATTTAAATAAACTTGGCAATATACATTTTTCAATAACAGTTTTAGAAGCAATACAGAGGTTCTTAAAGAAGAGGTAATAGGGTTTTGTATAAAATATAGCACAGTAAAAGAGGGAAAGGCATTTGGAAATTCTCAAACCCAGTTTTCTGTATGTTAGTTTTTATTTTAATTTCCAGCACAGTTTATCTAAATACAATCAAAATACTTAGTTTGAGTGAAAACTAGCATTTCTTTATCATACTTAACCCTCCTTTGGGACTGTAGTTGATATTCTGAATTTCAAGTTTAAGAAATAAATTATCTTTATTTGTTATATGTGACGATGTGTGACACATAAGGAAAAAGCTTGCTAATAAATTTAGTCCTTTAATTCAAGTACCATGTACCAAGTGTAGTCCTAGACATGATTGGCTTTATATAATTAATCTGTATCCATTATTTTACCGAAAGTATAAGGGTAGGCATGTTTGCTTATATTGTGTCTCCCTTAAGAATGCTGAAAATGATATGGGTATATAAAGAGTGCTGAAAATGATGATACTGAACTGCATGAAATTTAATACAGTTTCAACACAGTTCAATTTTGAAATATAAGCAAGCAGTTGGAAGAAATAAAATCTAAATGAAGATAAACTTATTTGGTACTTTAACTTTTGATGGACTCCACATTTTAAATTGAAAATTGTCTCCTAAGGATAAATTACAGGGTTGCATGAGGGATCAATAAGCTAGTAATTAGATTTGGGTCTCAGGTGAATTCAGATGGTTATGATGAGTTCTGATTTTGTATTTTAACTTTGCTTCAAAACTAATGCTATAAGAAATGTTTCAGGAATTAGAACTTACATGCATGGTAAAAATCTCTAGCTACTTCATTATTTTAAAAATCATTTAATGGTAAGTTAAAAAGTGTTATTGACTCTATATGAAATACATTTGAACTCCTGGGTTTCATTCAGTGTTATGAATCATGATTTCATGTATTTGTCTAGATAGGGTTTGGTTTGGTTGTTTGGTCTTCAGAGACACCTATATTTTATGGTATGTTTCTTACATAAAAAGGAGGCAGGTTCTGTGACAAATAAATCTGGGAAACAAAACAAGATCTACTTTCCTCTTGGACATTTATAATATACATGCATACACTGAGGCTCTGTGAGGTCCTGCTGAAAACAGACAATTCTGTCTATTTTTATTCTAACGTCAAGACCATAGAATACTTTTGCCTATGTAACATTGATTATGGCTTGAAGAGGGGGGCCGGGGGGCATATTTTAAGAAATATTAATCTAGTCTATTTTTTCCAAGTAATTTCCTTCAAATATTTTTTGTACATTGTGTTTTCTTTTAATGGAATTTTATAGTATCCATATTTGTAATTAATTAAGAGGTACAGAAAAAAGCAATTTTTACATAGTACTCATGTTACTACTGGAGACAAACAGAAAATGGACTGTATTTTCAATCACTTCAGGAGAGGAAAGGAAATAGAAATGGATTATTTTTAAATTGCATGGTTCTAGCCTCTAAGACTCAAAGAAATGTCCAAAATTATAAGACAAAATTTATTCTTGAAGAGTCAACACACTTATTCACCACTTTGGTAGAAATGGAGAATATTAGCATTTTAGATAAATATGTATTTTTTTAAAGTCATAGTTTTAGCAAACGATTAAGCAACTTGTATTACATTTTTCTTGAATTATCTTATCATTTGTGGTTTAGGCTGTGTGTGTGTGTGTGTGTGTGTGTGTGTGTGATATTTATCTGCATTATTAAATTTTTATTTTTTCTTGACAAATTGTTCTCAGACTTACACTGAGATATTTTCCCTCAATGCAAAATGTGCTTTTCCAATCTCACTGATATAGTGTTTTAATATGTTCTTAGAAAATATTGGCTAATCTTTATGGATCTTCATGGAATATATTCTGAAAGGAATATTATGAGGGGTTTAATAATTAAAGTATAAATCAAATGTATTTAGTGTTTCATCTGTATATTTTTGTTTTTTCTCAAATTAATAAAGCATTCATTTTTATATTTTTTATAGAGTAATGAAGTTGTCTACTACAATGCAAAGGACGATCTGGATGTGAGTATTAACATTTTACATTAAATTCCAAGGTGAACTTAATTATACTGGGATGACTGATTTTTTAGAACAAGTTGACTTAGCAGGTTTAGTATTTCAGAAAATGCTCCATAGCAGAAGAAAAATGCCAATTAGACACAACAAGGTAATGATGAATTTTAGTGCTTATGTGATCTTTAACAACTTATTGTTGGTAACTTCCTAAGAAGAAATGCCATATGTTTCTCTGATCTGAACTCACACTGTACCCTGTTCAGACCTCGGTTCACTGCACTGACTTAAATTCTCTATACTCCATTAGCATTGTTGACAGAGATTGGATCCCATCCATCTCTATATCCTGGCTCCTGTCACCACAGTCACTAGGCATGTCTACTCTGGCCTTAACTGCATACACCAGGAAAAGCCATTTACTTCAGCTATAGTGTTAATGACATTCTGGATGCTGAGCAACCACTAGCCTGCCTGTTCAATCTTTGAAGCATATTATGTGCTTAATATGCCTTTAAAATAAATATCTCTAAAGTGCATGTTCAAATGACTTCAGAACATGATTATTTATTTTAGCTCAAATAAGTTACTTTATAATAATGAACAGATCTGGACAGATTAGGGACACACTGGGACAGATTAGGGACACATTTTCATTACTTAGATATGGTATAAACATTTATGAAATTATATACCAAAATTTACACATAAATCTTAAATTCTATTGTAGTTGATTTTTGTTATCAGAAAAAATATTTATATACACTTATTTTTTATCCAAAGTTTTTTGAGGGCCTCCTATAATTTAGGTATTCTTCTAAGAGCTTGGGGTGTATTAAAGAAAAGATTAAATAAGTATACTATAATTATTGTTTGTTCTCAGACTTTTTTATCTGAATCAAAAAAAATATTATTATAATATATATATATTGTGTGTATATATATATATATATATAGTTATTATAAGTGAACCTATTGAATTTGTCTTCCTTTTGACTTTTCCCATGCAAAAATGTCTCTAGTATTACTGTGGGTTATAATTATGCCTAGAACCAGGATACATTCTCTTTTTTAGGCCATGAGTTGAGCTATAGCAAATTAAATAAAAATCTCTTAATAGGAATTGATATCAACTATATTTGATATCAACTTTTAAATTTAAAACTTAAAAGTGATAGTTATCACTTAGATAAATTATTTTTCATTTGTTTATATATATAAATGTTTCAGAATAAGTGGTTAAGAGTGTTGTGTAGTGGAAAGAGCATTACAAAGGAATCAGAGACTTCCATGCCCCATCCAGCCCTAAAATTGTAGTCTCCCACAGGGCATTAAAACTATTTAAATTCAAACTGTTTCCCCACATTCTACAGCTGACTAGGTGATCCATAAGTTATTTCCGTTCTGCGTAGTCTTAGAATCCTGCTAAAATAGTCAAGTTTGCTGGAATTAGGCTGTTTCATGTAAAATTTTTGAGAATTTATAACGAACTATAAGATTGTTTCATACTTCATTAAAACTTTTTATGGAGATGTTCAAAGGGCTTTAATATTGGTCTTGTAAACCCTTAAACATTGAATAAAAATGAACCATATTTTATGATTAGCCTCTGGGTTTGGCTGTTACGTAGAAACCTAAAGTAATAGTGGTGAAAACAAGACAAAAGTTTATTCTTCTTTCATGTACCATTCTGTGTACAAGGCCTAACCTGGTAACTCAATCATCCAAGGCCCAGGGTCCTTCTCATGTTTTCTGCTCTCCTCAATATACTTTTTCATGTTGTGGCCCAAGCATGATGCTTCAGTATTCACAATGATTTTTGCATTCTAGATAACTGGAAGGAGACAAATGGCAATGGAGGCCATGCTCTTTGCCTTTAAGGGCATGTTCAGGTGCATACATCACTTCCATCTGCACCATGGTCCACAACTTAGTGACTCGTTTTGCCTATTTGCAGTAGAATATGGAATATAATCCACCCCTATCAGATAGGCATCTGCCCAAATAAAAATATGGGTTCTATTACTAAAGAGAGAGCAGGGAGAATACTAACTAGGAGATAATTAGTTTCTACGAATATCTTCAAATTACTCTTCTGACATATTAAAGTTAATGCCCAAAGTCTACCCAATCTTAGTGACGTCTATTATCTAATATAGTAAAATTCTTCAACTTGGAACTGAGGAAAAATTATTTTTACAGCAAAATGTTTATAAATTATGTGATATATTTTTTCTTAATGTTTTGATTACTATGATCAAATTGTTTTCTGCAATAGAAATATTTACAATCTTACAGTGAAAGGAAGTTAAGACATGTAAGTAAATGTGACACTTCGATATTCTATTTTAGAATTTTCAGTGGTTATAATTTTCTTAAAGACTTGCTTATCTGATGAAGTCACATTTCAGTGGATGATGAAATTTACTCACCCTAGCCAAAAGTTTTGCAATATAGGTTGATTTAATTGACTACCATACTCAAAACTTTATACATGTTGTGCTTGATTATTTTATATATTGAATTCTCACAAATCATAATGCCATCTCATTGTTCTGATTTGAATTGGCTTACCATCACTGTTCTTTTAGATGTATAATTTTCACAAATTCCACAGAGCCAGATGCATTATTAAAAATTGTGATGGGACATTATGTAATGTGCTTTTATACATCACTAATGTCTAATGAACAAACGAACTAATTGGAGTACTAAATATTGAAGCAACACTCTCAATTAATACATTTGTCCTCATATATTTGAATGATGCTATAAATATCTGAGATGTAAATAAAGTTTCTATTTTAAGTATTATACCTCCTATAGGAGTCTAAAAAGATTGTAAATCTCTAGCCTATCATTTATAAGTTTTCCCCCAGTTCTGCATTAGCAAGAGCATATTTGTTTATCCAGGACCACTTCTGGTAGAAGAGTGGTCATTTCTATATTTCCCAACTCTCTTACATAGGTCATTTCCTTTCCATCTCGATGACCACCATGCAAGTTTAGATATTACTCTCAAATATTTACTTAAGAGCTATTGAAATGGTCTCTTATGCTTCTAAATTTTATATAGATTTCATAATATACATTTTTAGTATAAAATATTCCTAAACATTTTATTTATAGTTCCTTTTCCACTGTCAAGATCTTCAGATCCGTTATTATTGCCTTTATTTGGTATTTAAGACCCTGAATAAACTTTACCAGTTTTGTTTTTTCTAAGCCAACATGACTTTTGTAATGAAATGGCCATTTCTTCTTCTTGGAGGCACAACCAATCTTTATAAATTATGTTCTTGGGTCCTTCCCTTATGTGTAAGTTCCTGGAGGGCAGCTCTTATGCACTCACAGCAGCTAGCCTGGCCTTAATAGCAATTAGCACATTGTAATTACATAAGGTTTTTTCCAGTAATAAATCTAAGTTAAAATAGAAGTTTCATTGTATGTAAGTATGAAATGGCTTAAGAATAGCAGTCATAATTATATACCCCATTTCTGCTCTCCATACATAACTTTATTTTTAAAGAGGCCCTTTCACCACCACCCCTCCCCCAATTTCAGCCCAGACCTGTGAGTCTGTGATATAAAGGATTGGAATTGAAGTACACACCCTGAGGAAAACACTTGCCCTTAGCAAATTTCTACTTGACCAGAAACCATACCTATATCACCCTCTGCTTTCAAGCTACAGCTCTGACAGCATCAAGAAAAAAACCCTTGAAAGGGAATCTGTACCATTAGATTGTTTCCCAGTCCTGAGACTAGATAATCTTAATTCTGAAGAAAGACTAGATTGATATCTCTTTATTAAGGAATAAGCAGTTAATGGAGCAATTCATGAAAAGTTCAATAATAGTATAGTAGGCATATTGTATTATTAAAGATACAGAGGAAACAAAATAGATCCAGTGACATAGACACATGGAATAGACTGTCGAGTCTCAGAGGGAAGGTGGGGATAGGTGGGTGGGTGTGAATAGATCAACCAAAGATCTTGTATACATATATGCAGAACACATGGACATAGACAATAGGGTGGTGAAGGCCTGGGGTGGGGGTCAGGGGTGGGCAATAAGAGGTCAGTGGGAGAAAAAAGGGGACATATGTAATATTTTCAGCAATAAAGATTTTAAAAAATAATGTTGTATTTAAGTGTAATCTATTGATTTTGCCCATAAGGATGATACATAGCCTCAGGTAAAGGTAAAGGTAAAAGGTAAAGGTCAAACAAGTATTTAAAAGTGATCAATTATTCCTTTGGAATGTAACCTTTCTATTAGCTACATCTGAATAAGTCAGTTTGTGGGAAGCTATCAGGACTTTAATATAAGACAATTTCTCAGGGTCATTTTATATTATTTCTGCAACTTTACTTAGATCAGTGCTATTTATATTCACCTTGTGGATATAAAAATAAATAAGTGACAGCCAGATTTAGCTAAAGCAGTGACTAAAGTAAGGGGTAGAATTAATGTTTCTTAGGATTGTGTAATACGGTAAGAAATTATGAATGCAGACTTTCAGACAAGTTTTCCCCTTGAAATTTAAAATATAAAAGTGTACAGCTGGGCTAAATTATTTGGTAAGCCACAGTTCTCATGGAAGGATATAAGGCACATCACCTTACTAGAAATTTAAGGTGATTCTTCCTGTGTCCACTGAGCTGGTTAATGCTAAACCAGTCTCTCTTCTGATTACTTTGTCATGGTACCCTACAATTTTCCAGTCAAATGTTAAGTATTTAAAAACCAATTCAGTCTGACCAGTGTGGCTTAGTGGTTGAGCATCTGCCTATGAACCAGGAGGTCACAGTTGATTCCTGGTCAGGGTACATCCCAGGTTGCAGTAGGGGGTGTGCAGGAAACAGCCAGTGTCTCTCATCATTGGTGTTTCCATTTCTCCTTCTCCCTTCCTCTCTGAAATCAATCAATCAACCAATTCAAATACTACCTCCTCATGAAGTCTCCCTTGATTTTTCTAATTAGCAAATGGCATTTTCTTCCTCT